TAATATCATGTATTTCGAGATAACGAATGAAAAGCTAGAATACAATTGCAATTATAAAGCAATTATAATTTGTAATGTAAAAGGTTTCTTTAAAACGTACTAGAGATAAAAAAAAAATCTTTTTATTTTAATCCAGGTAAAATCCAAGATAAATCACACTCATCAAATAATATCATTGACTTTAGAATTTATGGTTTTCTCTTGCACAATTCTAGGAAAAGAGGGGGAAAATCTTCACAATGTCATTTCAACAATAAACAAGCTAAGTGTAAAGTAAAAAATATTATTTTAAGATAAGGCTTAGTTGTTTGTGTTGGAGATAAGAACAAAAAAATAATGATAAATAGGTTAAGTGTAAATATAAAAAAAATAAAAATAAAAAAACTTGTAATGTAAATATAAAAAAAATAAAAATAAAAAAACTTGTAAAACAATGAATGAATAAAAAAAATAAGAATAAAAAAAATGATGATAAATAACACACACACATATATGATGATAAATAGACAAAGAGACAAAGTGTAAAGTGATAAGTAGGCTGAATATAAAGGGGGGGAATATAAAGAAAAAAAAGTTGCAAAAAATTATAGATTTGTCATTCCTACAATGAATCAAAATTGATGAACAACACAAAATTATCATTTCTACAATGAAAAAACATTTTCTTTTAGTTTTTTGTATTATTTGTATGTTTAAGCGTTGTTGCGGGTCGATAATGAGAATATAAATAAATAAATAGCAAGGGGCTAAAAGGTTGAATATCTTTAAGAAATATTAATAAAAATATTTGTTCGTTTTCTTCTTAATCCACATCCTAGTACCAACTTAAGAAAATAAGATGAACCAATCTATAAATAAAAACACAACCTTAAGCATCGGATCTAAAATGTGAAAAATCAATGTTTTTTTTTAATCAAACACAAACAAAAAAGGCAAACACAAATCAAAGAGTAAAAAAAAGGTGTACTGAAAGGGAAAAGATTATGATAAATTGAAATGCAAATCAAAGATGTAAACAAGGAAAAAAAACAAAAGATTATGGACTACAAGATTGCATAAGTAATAGCAAATCTATCTAAACTATTTGCAAGTTAAAGAGCACCTGATAAACAATAAAAAGGGAGAAGCATCTGCAAACCAAACCAACAAATAAAGGTAATTGTTATTAATAATGCAAAGAAAATAAGCAATAATCAAGAAGTTCACTATTCAAGGTAATTCCACATCAAGCATATCAAGTTGTACTATGAAATTGAAGAGAATGACACTTTTTATTTTTAAAACAGTTGGACATCAATAAGAAAAAGTATATATGGTTGAAAAGAAAAGAGTTTGGCAAAAAAATAAAAAAAATAAAAAACATTTGATAGTAGACTTACCTAGCTCATTAAGGACAAACTAAAGAAATTTAATGTTACTCTAAAATTTCAAGAGTTGGAAGTGCAAGCCTTATTCAATTGTAAGTCTTTTATTATAAACCCGTAAAATCTAATTCATGGCAAGTGTATCTTGAAAACAATTAGTCTAATTTGAAGATTGTAGGAGATATGATATATATTGATCATAAAAAGAAAAAGCCCTACAAAACTATAAAGAAATTGACAGGAATTTAAGAAATATTTAAAGAGTTACCTTTTTATAGAGAAGACAATTACAATAACTTTGGAGTAACAGAGCACATAGATCTCACATTAAACAATTACAATAACTTTGGAGTAAAAGAGCACATAGATCTCACATTAGACTTTCTCATTGAAAAACTAACATATTAATATTTTTTAAAAAATTTCAGTTCCCATCAGCTAAACCCCACACTCTTAAAATCATCCATCAAAATCCAAAAATCAATTCAATATTCAAGGGAGATAAAGATAAAAGGAATTCTTTTACTTTCTAGATTTTTTTTGTTTGATCTAGCTAAGTATGAAGAAATGTTTTTTTCATCTAACTTAGTTATCATCAATGCCCTCCACAGTATTAATGATTTGATCTCGAAATTTTTTGGGCACCTTGAAAGATGAAAAGGATTGTTTGAGAAGGTTGTTAAGAAACAAATTTGATAAATAAGAGAATAAGTTATAAAAGAAAATAATTGATTTTTTTGAACTTTTTCCAGAGGTTACCATAAAGGTATTAGAAATATTAGGTGTCCAAAAAAATATTAAAATCTTAATATTAACATCTGAACTGTTTCTTGGAAGGATTCACAAACCCCAAAATCCTATAAAATTTAAATAATATTATTTTCAAAGTATAAAGATGAGAATTGCATGAAACCCAAACATCCATAAAATTTCAAGACTATCATTTTTTTAATAAAAAATCAATAAAGTTAAAGACCATTTCCTTTTAGTTTATTTGATGATGATTATGTAAAAAAATTCATTCTCTTTTAGTTTAGTTTCTTTTATAATATAAAAATAAAGAGAGAAATAATGTATTTGACTTTAGGCTGAATCGTTTCTCTTTGAAGGTGGTAGAGAAATAAAAATAAAAAAAAAAAATCTTCACAATGTTATTTTAAAAATAAATGAAGATAAGAACAAAAAAATGATGATAAATAAACCAAGTATAAAAAGATATTAAAAAATTATTTGAAAATACAAAAAATAAAATTCAAAACAATAAATAAGTAAAGATAAGAATAAAAATACCAAGTGTAAAGTAATATATAGGCCAAATATAAAGAAAAAAATTTAAAAAAAAAGTTACATAAAATTATAGATTATTCATTGTTATAATGACAGCTCAAATGAAGAAATTGAAAAGGGAATTACATATTTTCTATTTCTACAATTAATGGTATAGGTAAATTATTATGGTTATGGTAAATGATATGATAGTGGTAATTACATTAATATAATAATGACACAGGTAGTTATAATACAGTATTATAAAAGGTAATCATGATGCGAGCATTATAAAAATAAAAATGATAATATTGTAAAGTTAGTGATAATAATTGTAATATTAAAAAAATAACAAAAGTTATGATTCATTATAACTATAATCACCAATATGATGGTTATTATAGTGGTGTGGTGTGTAATATAAATAACATAATATTTAAAAAAAAACTAAGAACAAAAAAATTGTTTTAATTTTTAAAATTATTCATAAAAAATAAAATTAATAATTTAACTAAACATATATATTTTTTGAAAAAAAATGAAACAACATTAATATCAAGCAACATTTAGCATTTGTTTTATTCAAGAGCTAAAATACCATAGATGATACTATAATAGATAACACTTCCTGTAGTGATAGCTACGCAAAATTCAAGTAATGAATATCCTATTTTTTATAACAAAAAATTAAATAAAGTGTTTCTATTCACACAATTCAGTTATATAATATGAAATATATATAATTGAAGTTATGATTTTCAACCTTATACCTTATAATATAAATTTTCATTTCTTCAACTTTCCCTCTTTCATTTTTTTAATTATATATATTTTTTTTAATAATTATAAAATCCGACCTGAAAGATGATATCGGGCAACATCAGAACCAAGATCGATTCCAGATCAACCCTCTGGGTTTTTCTTTCTTTAGGATGGAGACCAATTGTTAAGCCCAACTAAACTTGACAATTAACAATTGCTCACAGCTCTGTCCATAACAAGCCAAATAAATGCCCATAGCCCAAATCCTTTCTTTTAAGTTATCCGCAGCCCAAATACTGTGATCATTCCATCACTTCATCGGTCCCTAAAAATACCTGAGAGGCAAAGCTCAATGTTTATTTATGACCAAGACACAATTTTACTTGGAGCAGTGCTTGGTTTGTTCTTTGTAGAGAATCCTGCGAGTCCCGCTATGAACTTTCTCTGTTACTTGAGAAGGGTTAATTCAGTTAAGGTTTGCCTAAGCTCAGTTTAGACCTCAAGTGAAGCCCAATGAAATATCGGATTTAGGTCAAAATCACTTCAAGCCTGTTTGGGGTTAGCAGCTGTTTTGTAAATGTTTTTTTATTTGTAAATGCATTGAAACAATTTTTTTTTTATTTTTTGAAAATTTATATTTGATATCAATATATAAAAAGATAAAAGAACAATAATAATTAAAAAAAAAACCTGCTCATAACATAATTAGAGTGTCAGCAAAAGAAGCTAACATAGAGCTTGCCTGGTAGGGAGGGAAAAGGAGGGAAATCTGTTGGTCCCTAGGGCATGATGAGCTGCCATGGACCCAAAAGGTTTCCATGGAAACCCAAATGGGAGACAAATGAATTTTCCAAGAGCTGCTTTGTCCTCATTTTGAGGAGGGCGATCCAAAGTATATTAATAATCAAAGCAGTGAAATACTAGTTCATACGCTTGAAGATTTATTCCTTCAAGATTGGTCCACAGAAAGCCTCTGGTTCCACCAACACTTGGACAACCTTTGTTGATCCATCATAGCATGGCCCAGTTAAAGACCAGACATAACAATTATGTTATCAGTGCTTGTGTTGCTTGACCAGCCACTCTTTTTCTACATCTCTTTGCTTTATATATGCAAGAGTATATTTGGGAAGCCGTGCTCCTTGAAGAAAAACTAAACTAGGGTTACTTCTCTTTAGTTTATTATATACAAGTCCCAAATGCTCTCATATTTAGTCTTTAATCATTTGGATTAGTGGTAATTGTTATGAAAAAACCACCTTTGATGTGAATTTGGTGAGTGTTATATCGAAAGGAGCCTCTAAATTTTATATATCCCAATCATTTAACACACGTCTAAAGAACACCCCACACTAAACAAAATTATGAGGACACCACTATATACAAGCTAGTTTAAGGCTGGGTACATTGGCAAGTGATCAACTCATGATTTACTCCACCAACCTATAATTAATTATCATAATCTTCTCTTGTTTGATGCATATCACCTGCCCATCTCTTTCTCATTATTTGTAATACGATAGACAACTCCACATTATATTATATATTCAGTGCCTTGGGATGGATATAAGCACAGCGTCACCCAAAACTCCCACTAGAAATAATCCCATGGAAGAAAACCACCACAAGAAAACCAGCTCTAGAGAAGACATCTTCTCCTTTCCTAGCACTCCAAGTACTCTAGATCAAGATTCTGATTTCGAGTTCGGTTGTCTAACGCCGGATTCTCCCTCTAGAGATCCAAACAAGAATTCACCAGCTGATCATCTTTTCTTCAATGGCCGCCTATTGTCACATTCTTTTCCTGTACTTCAACAACAACCAGCAACTATGCTATTTATTGATAACATTTATCGTGCACCTAGCAGAGCAAGCAGTGTCAGCAGCAAGGATTCCCTCATGTCATCAAGAAGTAATAGCACTAATAGTAGTAGAAGCAGTGTTAGCAGTGCGAGAACAAGCTCAAGTGACAATTCAGAGAGGAGAAGATTGTATAATATTAGTAGCAGCCAGACAACCTTGGCTAGTAAAGCTGTTATAGCACAATTATATGGATCTTCTCAAAGGTGGCAACATATCATGCCTGTACCAGCTGCAGCTTTGAAACGTGCAGATTCACGAAGAAAAAGTGTCCGGAATTTGGTGACAGAAGGGTTGAGCAACAACAAGAAACAAATAAAGAAAGGGAAAAGAGACAGGTCTGGGTTTTGGAGGAGATTTTTCAGGTCATTCTTGGTAGCCTGTAGAGAATGTCATGCCATGGAACCATCCACAAAGGATGACATTTTGGAGGGAAATATCAAGTTATGATTTATAATATATATTTAATACGAATGTGGTTTTTTATTATTTTTTCCCTCTTGAGAGGGGTATTGATTTAGCACAAGATTTGGTTGTAATTTTATGGTGTGTAATAATTAATGATATTCTATAATTTATTTTTCTAAACTCTTTTTTAAAAAAAGAAGAAGAAGAAGAAGAAATAAGCACAAGAAAGAAAAAATCTAGTGTAAATATTTTTATTATTTTTTGCTGGTTCTAGATTTGATTCTTTCTATTACTTAATTTTTTAAAACTAGGAATGTCTGGTTAATCTCAAGTACATCAGCTTTTCCTTCAGTAACATTTTTTTATAAAACTGCAGGCAGCAGGCCCTACTATATTCCCTTGCCATGATCTAGAAATGCAGAGGCTTCCAATTAATGTGCTTCGATTTCAAATAAGCATGGCCACCTCTCCTATGTGTAGCAGGCATGGAGTTGAGCAGGTGATGCGGGACAATAATAGATTTGAAGAAAGAAAAGGAGGGGAGAAAGGGAGGATAGAAGGGGAAGAAGAAGAAAAGGAGCTGGAGAGAGAAGAAAAGGGAGGAGGAGGAGGAGAATTAGAACTCTGCAAGTGTTTTTTTCATTCGTCGATGAGTCCAAATTAGAACTCTGTAAGTGTTTTTTTCATTCGTCGATGAGTCCAATCTACTGTAACATAATATAAATAGCAAAACCCTACGCAATCAGCAATGGAGCCAAAGTCCTATTAAAAATAAAATAAAATAAGAAATCCCATTAACATAAATTTAAGCCCAATCTCCCAACAAAAACATATGGATTAGACTATTATTCATCGTCCTGAGCCATTTGTAGGAGTAAACAGCGTCTTGGACTTGGTGTCCCATCAGCAGGAATAGAATTGCATGTGCCATGGAGAAGCGTCGTTCATTTGTAATGGCATGCCAGGCTGTAGGGTCTGCGAGAAATGAACAAGTTATACAAGGTTCCACTTGATCATCGTGTTAGCAGCTTCATCAAATTTAACTCTCTTGTCGAAGATTGTACATTAGCAGTCAATAGTTTCATTTGACAATAGTTTCATATGGTTAATCAATATAAATCATTATTTTGCATGAGTTTCATTGAATTTTTTTATAAAAAGATAAATAGTTATGAAAAAACTATAATTTATAGGTTTTTTAACTTATTTTTTAAAATTATAATCATAAAAACACTAAAATACCGAATACACATTTAAAATCTAATATTAATTTATCTAATTCAATAATCAATTTGGCTTGAGTTTTAGGTTCTCGGATTTCTCAATCACTTAAAAGAGTCATGTTGATTTCGCAACTATGTATACTAAGTATTTGATCCATTATGAAAAAACTATATATCTATTATGAAAAAAAATAATGAATAAAAGTTTTTTTTATATTATATTGGTGATTATTTTTCAAATTGTTTTACATTTACAAAAACATTAAAATAATTTTTTTTTATTTTTTAAAATTTGTTTCTAATACCATCACATCAAAACAATTTAAAAACACAAAATAAAATTAATTTAAAAAAATTCAAATTTTTCAAAAACAAATCTCACATCAAAAATATACTGTTACTAAGAAAAGTGGTTGATTTATTACACCATGAAATTTTAGGAATCCGTCGAGAAAGAAGCATAAATGCGACGAAGACAGATTGGAGCTAGCCTAAAGCTTAGTGATGCTTAATAACAACCATGATATGAAACTCCACTCGAACTGCTATTTATCTTTCTTTCTTCCTTTTTATTATCTTTACTTTGTTGCATTGCATCAAAGATAGACTGAAGTTCATGTCCCTTACCTGGCCGATGGCTTTCAACTCTGCTTGCCTCCTGCTACTACTGTGAATTACACGTTCAATTAATCCTAAAGTCCCAAGGACCCAAACCCAACAAAAATACTGGACCTCCTCTCCCGGGAAAGTTGGATAACTAAGCTAGCTGATCGGTCCAAACCTGCCCGAGGATTTAGTTAAGAAGATGGAGACGCTCGTTCAACACTTTGCTTTAGGCCTTGACATAGCATGGCAAGCCAAATGTTTGGGAAGTTCTGAGAATTAAATAGCAGAAACAGAGTAAAAGTGCATAACAAAACAAACTCTAAAATCCCAGTACTAAAGAAGCATGAAAGCCCTTTTGTTTTCCTAGATACAAGTTCCCATCCTTTGTCCATCTAATACAAGTCTTGTCGATTTCACTCCAAGAAAGTCTCCATGATGTCTGAATACACCCCAGCTTCAGGGTTCCCGCAATCCACAGCTTGGCGCTGATGATGATCAATAGATGTCGAAGAAGATGACGAAGTCATTCTTGCAGGAGAAGTGAAGCTCCTTTTGTACTTGTTTTCCATTTTCCATGCACTATCTGGATGGCTATCCAAACTCAAGAACTCATTGGGGTTCATAACATCAGAATTATTCATATTTGAAGCATCTGAATTTGGATTTGGACTCTTCCCTTCAAGGATACGAGGGTGGTAATTTTGGTCTCCTTTGTTTCCTAAGCTCTCAGAGCTAAACAAAAGCTTGGCATTGTCTGCCCTTCCGGTGAGAGCATTGAAGAAAGACAGCCCATTAGGCCATTTGATGTCATTTTCATGCTCTCCCGTAATCTCTTCCACTCGGGTTTCTGATGAATGGGGAAGGGTAAACATTTGGGGTTCATCTTTCGCTTGTGGAAATCCATGTCTAGCTGCATGGCTTTGAAAATTCGGTGAAGACAGCAAAGAAGAAGCAGATGGAAGTTGACTCCAGTTGAAAAGGGGCGGTGGTGGGCGGGTTGGAATTGCAGATTGCTTAGTAGGTAATGAAGAAGAAGAGGAAGTGTTTCTGGTTGATGAAAAGAGTTGGGAGAGGTAAGAACCAGATTGGTAGCCCAGAGATTCAAATGCATGCCTCATTCTTAGTACAAAATGAAGGTCTTCAGGTATCTGAACATATGAATGATGAAGCCCTCATGAGATCAAACTTTTCCATAAAGTAAATAATAGCTACTGTGCAAATATGAAAAGGGTAATCAAGAAATAATTTTAAGAACAATTAATTTTCGAGATTAATTCTTAAAAAGAAAAAAGAAATTAGATGACAAGTTCTCATATTAGAAAAATATTCGAACTCACAATCTTGCTAGAGCCCAGTTGCAGAAGGCCATGGCCAGCTTGTATGACAGCAATGGTCTGGTCAACACACATGTGGAACAAAATCTAAGTACTGGACATGGGAAAAATTAATTGAAAAAAAAAAAAAAACTATATGAACCTACTAACTGTACAATTAAACTCTTCTGGTGCTGACCTGAATACCAGACTCAAATTGATCTGTCCATTCCGGAGGAAGCTGCAATTGAAACATTCAAGAGCGAAGGTTACTATCAATCTTAAATATGGTGTCATCTAACTAGCGAATAATGGGAGACATTAAATTCCCAACACCACTTTTAGTCCAAACTTCTTAGTGGTACTAATTAAGGAAAAAAGGAAGGAAAAAACAGATTTATGGCACTGTTGCATACAGCATCAAAAGAACTCTGCCAGTAGTTGGAAATATTTGGTTCACATTCAGTAGGTTCTTTGAAGACCCATTTGTGACACTTATCTGAAGCAACCTTTCCCATTAACCTGCTCCAACGAAATAAAAATCAATCAAAACGCAGGAACAACATATGTTTTTCATCTCCTAGTTTCTGCACTCTAACCATGTTATGAAGATTTTCATTCAGAGAGAGGGAGAGTGAGAATTTAAACCAAAATAACAGCACCTACCCAGTACCCACCCTTCTCCATAATTATATAGCTGAATGGACATTTTGCTGAATGCTTTCCTGACAGGATCCTCTCCGTCAATTTCTTCCAAACAGTCTCCAACTCTTCCCCGGCAAAACCCATCTTCCCACATTAACATCCTTCACAAATCTCACAAGTCGATTAGTCAAGAATTAAAATCATATTGAAGGACCAAGAATTAACTTACAAGTTGATTAAATATGTAATTATTATATGCCAGTAATTGCCTAAAACCCATTTGTAATTACCATTTACAAACCGACCAAACATATTTAAATACACAAGTCAACAATCAAGTGCTGCGTGTTTCTTTAACTCTGTTTCAGAAGCAAATGATTAATGGTCTGTTTGGTTACTAAGAAAAAACCTTGGGAAAAAAAAAAGAAAGAAATGAAGTAACAAAACTCACAAGCTTCCATTGTCATCTCCGACCTTGCAACCATTACCGCTTCTAACTCTTCTGCAAATAAGAAAGACCACCCATATAAGGAAACAGTTGAAAGGCAAAGAATTTATAGAGAGAGAAACAGAATGAACGGTACTACAGAGATAGAAAGTTTGAAACTTTAGCGCAGAAAAAGTAAGATACATACGGGCGAGGACGAATCGTCCAGAAGACAGAGTAAGTCCAGTCTGAGTTGAGACAGACGCTTCTAAGGGCCTCATGAAGGGCCATCATCCCAACAGCTTCTTTGCTCCTATCTGCTCCTCCTGAGCCCACCATCTCTCTCTCTCTCTCTCTTAAAAAAAAAAACAAGAAATGAAGTAACAAAACTATAACTTGAGAGAACTTTGTCATAGACTTGAAAAAAAACAAAAGAATCACGACTCATTAGAGTAACAGTCCACTGTCCTCCCCATTTTCTTTGCTGTTTTAGTATCAGAAAGAAGGAAAAACTCACAAGCTTCCATTGTCATCTCCGACCTTGCAACCATTACCACTTCTAACTCTTCTGCAAATAAGAAAGACCACCCATATAAGGAAACAGTTGAAAGGCAAAGAATTTATAGAGAGAGAAACAGAATGAACGGTACTACAGAGATAGAAAGTTTGAAACTTTAGCGCAGAAAAAGTAAGATACATACGGGCGAGGACGAATCGTCCAGAAGACAGAGTAAGTCCAGTCTGAGTTGAGACAGACGCTTCTAAGGGCCTCATGAAGGGCCATCATCCCAACAGCTTCTTTGCTCCTATCTGCTCCTCCTGAGCCCA